CAAACTGGGCATGCAGAAGTTTACCGGAGGCAGCTAGTTGTCAAACGAAGTGATAGTGTAGATCAATATATTTGGCTCGTTTATGGAACACTGAATTTTAAGTCATGAAGACAGCACTTTTGTTGTCACATAACAAAGTTGGTCGATCCGGAGGTAGGGCATGCAACTCTCGTAAAAGGTGAGTGATTCAAACTATCTCAGTTCTAGTGCTAGCCATAGTATGATACTCCGATTCATAGCTACATCTTGAGACGGTGGGTTGTTTCCAATGTTTCAAAAACCGGTTTTTTAGTTGAATCGGTATTGTGACCGGTTCCCGGTTTAACCGGTTCAACCGTCGGGTCAACCGGTTTCTATATTTTTCATGTTTTCTCCTATTTTCATACACATTCATACACATATAAATCATGAGATTGATGTTTACAAGTTCAAACATTAAGAATACACATAAAAATAAGTTGTAGATGAATGTAAATACATTAAAATAACACATAACCATAAGTTTTACTGTTTTATATCAATCAATATACGTCAAAAAGAAAATAAAGTATAATACCAAAATGAAATATAGTTTTAGATGAATACAAACAAATCAAAAAACTTTATAACATTTACCATATGTTCTTATTTAGAGAAAAAAACTAAATAGATTTGAAAAAAATTACAAAAGTTTATTATGTAAATGGTTCTTTTCATGTGTTTTTATTAAGTTTAACCGATTCAACCGGTTCAACCAGGTTTTTCTAAAAACCAGTTGGTTCAATCCGATTTAGAAATTGATGTAAAATTGGTGATAGTTGAACCGCTCCTTCCCCCGGTTCCCGGTCCAACCGGCCGGTTCAAACCAATTTTTAAAACATTAGTTGTTTCTTTGTACTCCAAGAAACCATGTTGCCACCAAGAAATATGGAGTAGCCATAGGTGGATCGACGTGTTTCAAGCCAATGAGCTCAATCAGCATCGGAGTAGCCCAAGATGTTATTAGTATGTGGACGGCGAAAAATAAGACCAAATGAAATAGTGCCCTTGACATACTGCAAGATTTGTTTTACTGATTGAAATTATACATGAGTAGGAGCATGAAGATATTGACTTACTTGATTAACAACATACGACAAATCAGGTCGAGTAATAGTCAAATATTGTAATGCTCCAACTGATGAATGGTAGAGAGTAGGATCATAAAATAATGGTCTGTTTGAGGTAAATGTTTCATGAGTAGCTAGCAGTGTCGGAACTGGTTTGGAATCAAGTAAATCAGCTCGAGTAAGGACATATTTAGCATATTTGGACTGGCATAAAAACAATCCATCATCGGTATAGCTGATCTCCAAGCCAAGAAAGTAATTAAGATCACCAAGATCTTTGATAGCAAATTTTTTATTTAAGCGAGTAGTAAAAGAAGTGATTAGCGATTCTTGATTACCAGTGAGAATGAGATCATCTACATAGACTAGCAAGTACATAACACAAGAATGTTTGGCATAAATGAATAAAGAGGTGTCTGCATAACTGAAACTGAACCCGTTTGCTAGTAAAAATGAGCTTAGACAATGAAACCATGCTTTTTGACCTTGTTTTAGTCTATATAGAGCTTTGGACAACTTGAAAACATGATTAGGGAATTTAGGATCAATAAAGCCAGGAGGTTTCTCCATGAAAACCATTTCTATTAATTGATCATGAAGGAAAGCGTTTTTGACATCGAGTTGATGTAGACGCCGGTTATATAAAAAAGCAAGTGGAAAAACAATACGAACATTTGATGCTTTAATAACTGAACTGAAGGTATAAGAGTAGTCAAGACCGGGAATTTGAGTGAAACCTTGAGCCACAAGACATGCTTTAAATCGTCCTATCGAACCATCAGATTTGTATTTTTGTGCGATAAACCCATTTGGATCCAACCACGTTAGAGGCCATTGGACGAGGAACTAATGTCCACGTGGGATTCTATTTAAGAGCATCCATTCCATCCTGCATTGCAAGCATCCATTTTGGATTTTTGGCGACTGTCTTGAAACCTTTAGGCTTAAGAGAAGAAAACAATGAAACATATAGAGCATGCATGGCAAGAGAATCAAAATCTAAAAGACGTTTTGGTTTAGTAATCCCAGATTTTGATCAAGAAGTCATAGGATGCATCGATCTTGGCCCATGTGGATCGATTGATGAAGCAGCTGGCTGTGGTGGCGTAGATGGTGGATCAGACGGTTGTTGGGGTGTCTTGGATGAAGGAGAGGAAGAGTATTGTCTGAGTCGGGTTGACACAAATGACAAGGCGGAATAACATTAACCTTGGAGGGATCCGAAACGGGCTTTGTTGTGGTCCGGGAAGAATAGAAAGAAGCAACGAACCCATTCTTTGGAGCAGTCGGCGAGGTACCAGGCCCATCATCAATGAATGAGTACAAGTCCAGTTTAGCAAAGTTTGTGCGACTAGAAGTGCCCGACAAAGGGAATGAAGTTTCCTTGAACTTAGCATGGCATCTAATATATACTCGAGATGTTATAGGATCAAAACATTTATAGCCCTTGTATTGAGAATTGTAGCCCTTGTCTAGACAAGCTTAATAAATATTGTTAAAACTGCATAAAAATAGGACTTGGATTTTAAAGGGTAAAACCAAGTGAAGAGTGAGTGATCATCCACAAAAATAACATAATAGATATATATATATATATATATATATATATATATATATATATATATATATATATATATATATATATATATATATATATATATGTCTAATGAAACAATAGCTGGTCCCCACAAGTCACAATTTATTAAATCTAAGGGATATAAGGAGTGTTTTGGATTTAATTCAAATGGTAATCGTTGCCCTTTAGAAAGCTGACATGGTTCACATATAATAGGTTTTGGTAAAATTGAAGTAACATGCAAAACACCTAGTTTGTTTAAAATAGAGATAACATCAAAAGAAGTATGTCCTAAGCGATTATGCCACAACTCGAATGAGGCTTTGTTGGAAACTCCGGAAACTACAACCAAAGCTGTGGGGTAATCTCGAAGCAAATATAAACTGCCTTCACATGTTCCTTGTGCTATCACTTGTTTGCTTACCCTGTCCTGGATATTGAAAAATTATTAAGAAAAGAGAACGTCAATCGGGTGATCCATGGTAAGTTTACTAATATATAGAAGATTCTTGGTTAAGTTATGGACAGCCAATACACCACGCAATGATAGATTTTTAATAATTATAGTATTACCCATATGAGAAATAGGGAGTTTATCTCCATTACCAAAAAGAACATGCATATTACCCGAGTAAGGAGGCGGTTAAGAGACGTGATATGGAGAAGAATTCATATGCATAGTTGCTCTAGAGTCAACATACCAATCAGGATAACCTTATGTGACATGGCACTAAAAATGAAAGGATTGAGCTAGATTTGAGTTTGAAGTAAGTGCATTAGTAGCATAAGTATGGAGGTTGGTATATGAAGACGCTTAATGCCCATTTGTTCATCATAACTGATAGTGGGGAGGACGACAACCTCCACGTCTATGACCACCATTAGAACCACTACCATTACAACCACCACGATAATAATGTTGTTGGTGTCTACGAGAGTTGTTGGACATGTTTTGTTGAGACACGAAGGTAGTTGGAGGAGTAGTGTGACCATGAAGAGTTTGAAGGAATAACTTATGGTCTTCATCCTATGCAACTAAATCTCTGAAAAGTGAGGATGGTTTAGAAGTTTGAATAGTTTGGAGAAGGTTTCGAATGAGGCTCCCAACCCACAAAGAAACCAATGAATTTTGTCCATCTCATCAACAGGTTGACTAATAGCAGTAAGTTTATCACAAAAAGGCTTGAATTTGCAAGCATAATCAGAAACAGAAGTTATACCTTTTGTCATTTGACGAAGAGAATCTCGTAAAGAGTGAATACGTTCAACAGATGAGGTGTTGTATGCAGTCTCCAAGACAGACCAGATAGCATGAGAAGTGGAGAGACCAAGGGCCTCGGTAACAGCCTCCTTAGTGAGAGAGGAATTTAATAGAATGACAGCCTTCCGATCTAAATCAGTCCATGTAGAAACGCAGGATTCGGTACTAATTTGTTATCTGTTTCAATTGTAGCAGGAGGAGCGATGGAGGTGCCATCAATATGACTTAAAAGCTTCTGAGGCATGATTCCTCCACAGAAGGTAATTGGTGGAAGAGAGTTTTATTAGGAATCATATGAAAAAGAGTATTCATAGTGAAAGTGTCGTCTGTAGAAGTTGACATGATGATGAGGTACCAGGAAGAAGAAATCGGAGGGTTTAAGGTTAAAAAAAAATATTGTGAGGGAGGAGGGTTTGTTAGGCTGATACCATTTAAAGTGTTTATAATTTCAATCATACCTGAGTCGTGTGTGAGGTATTTATATTAACAAAATACAAACTAATCTACTGTATTAAATAAGAAATAATACAAGATACATACAAATACATATTTAAATAATAAGTTGGTACATACAAATACATATTTATTATAATTTAAATAATAAGTTGGTGATTATCTAATAGATTTATTTGAAAACATATATATGTATATAAAACTAGAAGAGTGCTCAAAACTTTAGAAATATTGGTAAGGTGGTCATGTTTTGTCCACATGCATGTCAGTTTCCCCCCGGTCCCATCATCCACATAAAAACAATAATCCGAAAAAATTTCAACACACAGTAGATAATGCAGTCAGTGTAATTACTTTTTCACCTATCTTATCTTGTTTCTACATTCCAAAACAAAAATAGGCAAATAGATTTTACACATAGGATTAGGGTGTGTTTCAACTTTTAGAAACTCGCATTTCTTAATTATATATAAAGTGATCATAAACATTCATCAAACTCTTACACCTTAAAATAGATCACAATTTTCATATTTAAAAATAAGTGATTTAATATTCCAGATCCAGTAATTAAATTAATATCCTTGAGGATTTCATCACACAAGGATCCAATTAAAACGCATTGTTACCTACATAAACAAGCAAAATTTAATCGCTGAAATATATATCACCAAACACATAATTATACTGTACATGAGATCATATATAACGTGAAGAGAACCTACGAGCATTCTCCTAACACTTGCGCGATTCGAAGTCTGTACATATAAAAATCATCACCATGATTGCCTTCATCAAAATTCTGTGAGTAACTAACAGCATCGTAGTGGAATACCAAAGGTTTAGAAGATCCGTATATGCTCTTCTTGCTTTCTTCAACTACCTTGTTCATCAGCTTCTTCAACTTCCGTCTTTGGTGATGATGATGATGATGATTCTCGCTTCTGGTGCTTTTGATTCGGGTGTATTGTTCGTCGACGGGAACGCACGACGGCGACATACAGGCGGAGAAGTAGGACGAACGCCGTGGAGTGGTGGAGCCGATGAAGTTGGTTGTATTTGTATTCGCCATTTTTGGAGAGTCGTGAGAGTTGTGAATTGTGATAATGAATGGGATTTTGAAGCGATAATGTGCAGATTTTATGGTTGGTTGATGGAGGGCTATTTGGTAAATTTGTATTGGAACTGAGAGTGTGGAAATAGTGTAGTGGACGCGTATTTACCTTTTTTCTGTTATCATGTGTGTCGTTGGTGACTTCATTATCTTCATAGCTGTCGGTTGGAGTGCAACAATTTTACTTTTTTGTTAATCACAAAATTATCTTAAAATGTTGTTTCTGTTTTTATATTATTTTTGAGAATATATTCTAAGAAATATTGACATAGCATTTATTTACTTATAAAATAAATTTATAATTAAGATTATTACCAAAACTGAATTTAATCATATCGGTAACTGACTAATTGGTTCGTCATTTTGTAAAATCTTATTTTTGGTTTTTATAGAGGTAGTGAAATTTCTATATGGTAGGTTCGTTGTTCAAGTTTTAAGGTTTTAATTAGAAGTTGGTTAGAAGATGGTATGCGATTTAGTGTAGTGTCTTAGTATATTGTCTAAAAGACAAATTCTTACCCCCTATATTTGCAAAAGCAAAAACTGTAGTGGACGGTCAGAAGCCCAATTTATAGATTTATTATCAGGTGAGTCTTTTTAATCAATATTCATCAATTTAGAAGTAGTTAAATATTAGTATAATTTAGGGATGAGCTTCGGACCGGGTCGAACTGGTTGGTACCTAGGAACCATATAGTACCAAAACTGAAAATGAACAAAATTTAGAATGGGATATTAAACTGGATGTAAGTATATGATACCGGCTCAGATTGGAAATAAAGTTTAGTTTGAACTTAGGGTACCTATGGTACCGGTACCTGGTTTATCTCAAAATCGAAAATGGACAAAATTGAGAATCGTTTGAATGTTATGCAGTGCATGCATATGTTTGTTATTTCTTTTTTTAATTTTTTGTTAGTTTCAAGCTAGTAAAGAGTTTTTATTATAAATATGTAATATTTTTACAACTAATAGTTTGTTTTTAAAAAATTACATGAAATGACAATCAATAAGATTTTATTTGTGCTTTACGCCATTAAAATTCTAATTATTTTTAATTGATCAAACATGTATGTTTGTTTTGTTATACCATTTGTGTCTTAGGCTTAGAGGAACCACACCAATCCATCCTAAACTTGGTGGTTACACTCTACTACGGTGACACTATTGTAGGGGAGGTCATGTGGAAAAATAGCTCGACGACAAGATGATAACAAAAAACTTAGGAACATGTGATCTGGAGACCATGTAGGTTAAGAACATGGTATTCCCAGTGAAAATCATAGTCAATGGTATATGTTAGGGGTGAAGTCTTGACAGAAAGCTCTGTTAGTAGCAGAAAGCTCTGCTGATGAGAGAAAACTCTATTTGTGAGAGAAAGCTATGTTGGTGAAAGAAATATATGCTTGGTGGAAAAAAGTTATGCTGATCAGAGAAAGCTTTGTTTGGCAGTAGAAAACTATGTTGGTGAAAGAAATCTTTGTTGGTGGTAGAAAGTTGTGCTTTTCACAGAGAGATCTCTTTGGTGGTAGAAAACTCTGTTAGTGAGATAAATCTCTATTTAGTGAGAGAAAGCTCTAGTTGTGAGAGAAAGCTCTATTTGGTAGCAGAAAACTCTATTGGTGAGAGAAAGTTTTGTCATGAAGGAGAAAGTTGCTTCATGGCTTTCTGTGATTGGCTGAGATTTTAGGGCATCCCCTGCATGGGATAATTATGGATGGTTTTGGCCCATCAGATTTATGGTTTCCCATATTTGCCAATAAATAGGCACACATCTCCATCTTTATTCTAGGCTAGTTTTTGTGAGTATTTTCAAGAGAGCGATCATTATGAGAGCACATCCTTTGGAGCACTTGTAAGCAAGAGTGATTCTTTTGTTTTGAGAGCTCAACTAAGGTGCAACATTGAGTTATTGAAATAGTTCCCGAAAGTTTAATACAATCCTCTCTCTCTCTCTCTCTCTCTCTCTCTCTCTCTCTCTCTCATGGACGTAGGTAACTTTGATTGAATCGTGTTAAATACCACGTTCAGATTTGATTTCATTTTTTAGAAGTTTTATTCCGCAAGTTTCACCGAAGTTCATTTATCATTTGTCTGAAGTGCTTAACTTGCTTTGTTGAATTTCCTAAAAAACTAGTATCAAAGTTATGGATGAAGATAAGAGAGTTAAGATTGGAAAATTCAATGGTCAGGATTTTGGGTTCTAGAAAATTCAAATCGAAGTCTATCTTTACCATAAGAAGTTACATGAACCATTGTCCAAAAAGAAACCTAAATCAATGAAGCATGAGGATTGGAATCTGTAAGATCAGTAGGCACTTAGTGCGGTGAGGTTATCCTTGGAAAAACAATGTAGCATATAATATTGTCAATATGAAAACGACTCATGGATTGATCAATACGCCATCTAACATGTAAGAAAAATCTTTAACAACAAAAACGGTTCACTTGATTCGACAGTTCGTAAATCTAAAGAAGAAGGAATGTGGCTTTATGCATATCATGTAAATGAATTCAATTCAACCATCTCAAGGTTGATTTTAATTGATATTAGATTTGAGGATGAAGTCATTGCACTATTACTATTATCATCTTTACCCGCCAGTTGGTCCGACATAGTGACAATAGTCAGCAACTCAGTTAGAGGTGCTAAGTTGGCTTCAAAACAATTTGTGACTTAATTCTTAGTGAGTATGTGCGAAAATGAAGTGATGTAGAATCTTCAAATAATCTCTTAAGTATTAAATACATAGGAAGGAAGTCCAATAGATAGGTAAGGATAGAGGAAGATCAAAGTTGAAAAAGATAGATGTATCTAAAAACAAGAAGGACATCACCTATTGGAACTACAAAGACAAAGGTCATTTCAATAATCACTCTATAACAAAAGGAAAGTTAGTGGTTGCTAGAGGTCAAAATCGGGGTACATTTTATATGGTGGAAGTTTCTGATGCTAAGGCACATACTGTTGAGGAAGTTGGGGATTCATTCAATGGCACCAAAGTCTTAGGCATGTGAGTAAGAAAGGAATGAAGATGCTAGCTCTAAAGGAAGAATTTTGGATCTAAAGAATGTGACACTGGATTTCTGTAAGCAATTTGTTCTTAGTAAATAGAAGAAGGTTTCTTTTGCAAAGATATGTCATCTGCCTAAGATATGGAAATTAGAGTTAGTTCATTCAGATGTTTATGGTACAACTTCAATTGCTTTAGTGGGAGGATCTTGACATTATGTTACCTTCATCGATGACTGCAAAAGGAAAGTTTTTGTTTATTTATTGAAGCATAAGTCTGAAGTTTTTAGGGACTTCAAGAAATGGTAAGTTATCGTATATAATGAAACGAACTTGAAAATCAAGTCTTTCAGATTTGAAAATGGGGGCATATATACTAGCAAAGAATTTGTTGATTACGGTGGTGACCATGGAATCATAATGCAAAAGACCATTCCAAAAACACCTTAGCATAATGGAGTAGCTGCGAGGATGAACTGAATGTTGAATGAAAGGGTGAAGAGCATGAGACTGCATGCAGGTTTAACCAAGAGATTTTGGGCAACTTTGGTCAACACATCAGCATATTTAATCAATAAAGGACCCTCATTTTCGATAGGGTTCAAGATTTCAGAAGAAAAATGGTAAGGTCGCGCGAGATTTCTCTTAACCATTTGAAGGTTTTTGGTTGTGTATTGTATGTAATAGTTAAAGATTATAAGAGAGACAAGCTAGCGGAAAAGGAAAGAAAGTATGCCTTTATAGGTTATGGGTTGGACGATATGGGGTACCGCTTCTAGGATAATGAGAATAAAAGGGTTATCAAAAATTGAAATGTTGTGTGTCAATGAGAATGCTTTATACAAGGATGATCTTGAAAAGAGCTCCAACATTAATAAATAACCAAAATATGAAGATCAACTTAATTTGGAAGAAACTTCAGATGATGACATTATAAAACCTGTCAGTACCCCATAGATACGTAAAAGTTCAAGAAGTAGTGGGGGCTCTGATAACAGTAGAGGCATGAGTGATAGTAGTTCAAAGGATGGGGATGCAGATAATGTAGAGACTTAGACTCATGCCGTCTGTAGATCCACTAGAGTGTGAAGGCCTCTAATCAGATATTCTCCTTTAGCAAATTTCTTGTTACTAACAGAGAATGGTGAACCTAAGTATTTTGCAAAATCCTTAAGGACCAAAGAATCCAGACATTGGAAGAAGGCTATGGAATATGAGTTGAGCCCTCTTGATAAGAATCATACTAGGTCCTTGGTCAAGCTCCCATCATGGAAGAAAGCACTGCAGAACAAGTGGGTGCTTCGGGTTAAGGATGAGATTGACAATACCAAAAGATACATATAGGGAAAGGTTGGTGGTCAAGGGGTTCCAACAAAAGAGAGGGGTTGATTATAATGAGATATGCTCTACAGTTGTGAAGATGGCTATAATCACAATGGTTTTAGGCATTGTAGCCTCTAAAGATCTCCATTTAGAGCAGCTAGACGTAAAAACAGCTTTTCTACATGGAAATATTGAATAAAAAATCTATATGGCACAAAGAAGGTTTTCCCATAATTGGTAAAAAAAAATATGGTATGTAAATTAAAGAAAAGTTTGTATGGTTTGAAGCAGGCTCCAAGGTAGTGGTGCTTGAATTTTGATAACTTCATGCAGAGGAATGGATACAACAGATGTAAGATGAAACACTACTATTATTTAAAGAAATTTAAATCCTCTTACATCATCACGTTGTTATATGTTGTTGATATATTGATCGTTGAATCTAACATATAGGAGATCAACAAGCTTAAAAATCATATGGCCAGTTAGTTCAAGATGAAGGAGCTAGAGGGAGGCTAAGTAGATATTAGGCATAAGCATAGCAGGAACAAAGTTACCGACACACTATAACTTTCACAAGCCAAGTACATCAAGAAAAATTTATAAGAGTTCATCATGGAAG